CTTCTATATTGAACTCCCTGCTCGACAGCTATTTACTAGTTCTCAGTTGCGCTTGACGGACCGATGATCTTGAGTGGTCGTGGGAGGATAAAGGCTATGCCACTCTTATCTGTCATCCACTTACCGCTATCTTGACTCTCCCTGCCAAGCACTTAACTGCCAGCAGGGTGAAAAAAAATGCAATGACCATAAACCTTACGAGTGTATGGACTTTATTGTTAAAAGGAGTCGGAAAAGCTACCGTAACAGCCAAATCATGAAACATGTAAATAATATGGCGATGTGTGAGCTAACGAGTTGAGAGAATAGAGGGAAGCTTAAGATAATAACATTCAAAGAAGTGAAGCCAACCTAGACTATGATTAGTGCAATGGGCGAACCCAAGGTATGGGAAATGCGTATTTTCTTAAACGGCTAGTAAGTGCACAGATATCATTTCATTGATTCATTTTCTCTATACTTTGTGTGGTACTGGAGCGCTTTCTATATAGTTAATAAATGATGTTCAATAACAAGAACTAAGCTATGCTAGTTGCTATAGAGGATTACGTGTCTGACTATCAAGTGTATTACATCATGGGTTGTTGTCGCCGCACATCTAGTGTGGCTGAAGGATCGTGCATCCCTCGCACGCCTTGGTCGAGGGAGGTCCCATGCAGGCGTGAGGACCTTCTCGCTTGGAGCAGTTGTCGCATATTCTCACGTGTGCTCTCATGACACACGCAATGATGTATTTCCCCAGGGTGTGAGAGAGATGGACACACATTAGCTTTGAGTGGTCGGTAGTACCAGAGAGGCGTTTTATGCGTATTGTCTGTGCTCCCTTGGACTTGTTTTGTAATGATGAGCTTGAGTCTTCCACTTCATGAATAACCTTTGTTATGTATTATAAATTTAATTTTTTTATTTTTAATCCGATTACAAGAAAATCCAGTATAGGCACAGCATATGTCTATGGTGCGATCACACTAACTGTATATATAGTATTAGCTTATTTCTGAATTAGTTACTAATGTTTAAAGATTCATCAGTAGATACCCTCATGGTTCTTCTGAGGATATTACCACAAAAGTTCTTATATGAGGTCATTCTCTAAGAGATGCCCATAGCTTACTGTGTTCAACCTCTGAAACTGCCTGCCACTGTGGAGGCTGCAACAGGAATTTCTCTTTCGGATCTCCCTAGCCTTGCAAGGGTCTGCACTTTGCTTTTCATTCAAACAGAGCATAGAAATTCCTGGAAATTGACCTCCCTGAATACTGCTGTGGCGTGCTTGGAGCCATAGGATGACATGGCCTGCCCGCACACAGCTGCTGTGTTCTGAGTTCGTCCAAGTATCGAGTACGAGGAGAAACACAAGAGCACTCTACAATTACGTAACACTGCTAATATTTCTAATATTAACAATTTGACATCAGCCACTTGTCAACTGAACTTACATTCGTAATCAGCTCTAAACGGATCCTGTGGCAGGTGCGTGTGGCTCAAGTCTGCAAGCCCAGCAATTTGGCTGAGGCCAGTGGTGTGGATCATGAGGTCAAGGATTCAGACTGCCTGGTAAGCGTCGGTTGAATCCCGCTTTCTACTAAGTAAACACAAATATATTAGCGAGGCACTGGTGACACGTGCTGTAATCGCAGGCTGTCTACTAAGGACGGCTTGAGCAGGTATTGGAATTATGGACTTGAACTCTGCGCAGGCAGAGGTTGCATGATTGAAGCTGAACGACGGGACATTGTGAGCTCCCAGGCCTTGAGGGACTTCTACAGTACCGCAGAGCTGTTCTCATCAGAAAAGAAGAACACACTAAAAAAACTAGAACAAATCGAGCAGACAAAACCAAGTTACATAACACAAAACATAGTAAGTGGATAGAGTGGGAGACTTCTAAGTGTTATACAAATTAGTAGCATATATTAACTAGTATAAGGTATACCGACGCAAATTCAGATGAGAGGCCTCGTGCTATTAATAGGAAAGTATTACTTTAATAATTCGTTATATTCTCTGAAAACTAATATTAACAATGGAAGTTATGATGAGGTAAGTTCGCAGAGGAGGCACAGCTGAACGTCTGGAGAGAATAGTGTACTGTCTAATGTATGCTTATGTCCCAAGGCACATGTCTTTGCTACTCTAGAATTGAAAGTGACTTAGTAGAGACGGGGTTTCACCGTTTTAGCCAGGATGGTCTCGATCTCCTGACCTCGTGATCCGCCCGTCTTGGCCTCCCAAAGGGCTGGGATTACAGGCTTGAGCCACTGCGCCCGGCCTAAAACTGTATTTTCTATCCACCTTTGCCTGCTGATGTGAAATCTACAGATAGAAAGGGCTGACTATATATATTTTTTAAAAAATTGTGACCTGGGCA